AAAAAAAAAAAGAAAAGAAAAAAGAAAGAAAGCAGGTTGAACAAGCCAGGGGGAGCCAGCCAGTAAGCAGCACCCCTCCATGGCTTCTGCTTCAGTTCCTGCCTCCAGGTTCCTGCCTTGGCTTCTCCCAGTGATGACCTCATGAGCTGTAATTTACATGTGGAGGTCAGAGGATAACTTTCGAGAGTCAATTCTCTTTCCATCACATGGATCTTAGAGATGGAGCTCAGGCCTTCAGACTTGTGAGAGCAAATGCCTTTTCCTACTGACCCATCCCTTTAGCCACTTTTTTTTTTTTTTTTGCCTTTTATTAATAGACTTTACTGAGATACATACAAAAAGCTCTTGAACAAGTTTAGTTGATAATTACCTGCCCCCAGTCAGAATGCGAAATCTCTCTGGGGGTGTTACAGATTGAATCCCCTGACTGGTCCAAATCCTTATATTGGAGTCCTAACCCCCCGGGCCTCGGAAGGTGAACTTATTCGGAAACAGGGCTGTTGCGGGGTTAGAAAGTGGTAACGGCGTGAGCTTCACGTCACACCACACAGCCATAGCATTTGGGAGCTGGGTGTGAAGCTCAGAGCCTGCCTGAGGTTCATACCCATATTGTTGCAGTGGGGGACAATCTTGATGGGACACAAGAGAGAGACAACGCCTTGAGGAAACAGGAGTCCCGGCCAGGAGGGAAGGACAGTTCCAGTTGCCTTATGATCTGCTCAGTGCGATATAAGTGAGGTTTTACAAGCAGGAGTGTGGACATGGAGACTCACAGCAGGGGAAGGTCTGTGAAGATGAACGTGGATGCTGGGTTCATGCATTTGAAACCAAGGAACGCCACTGATGCCAGCCAAGAGCCAGAAGCTAGAGCCAGGCATGGCACAGACGCACCATGAAAACCCAGCCCTCCCAGTGATGGAGGTTACCTCCACAGACTTGTTCATACCGACTGACATCCCCTCTCAACAGAATCTCAGTCTGTCAGTTTGCTGCCTGCCCTATCCCCAAAGTCCAGAGCATCGGGGTGCTCAGTGAATATCTGCTGACTGAATAAGGGGAGGGCCTATGGCTGTGATGGTTAACCTGGGGAGTTCTAGAGGGCTGGAAGGCTGGGGGGTGGGGCTGGGGGCAGGGTAGTCACTACTGACCCGGCTGATAGGATCAGAGCTGTGGTCCTGGGCTCCAGAGGGGGAGGAGTTGGAGGAGTGTGAATGAGAGATTACAAACCGAGATGACATGGGGGAGACAGCAGAGGCAGAAGAGAGAGCCGAGAGCCGGCTTCAAGGGGCGGTGTCGTCTAGACATGGGGGTATTGCGTAGTGACCAAGGGTGTGCGTGGACTTTGTAGTCAAACTGTTTCTGGGCTTGCGCTGTGGACTCTGTCCCTCGCTAGCTCTGTGACATTTGGGAAAGTTACTTATTAAATCCCACCCCTGTGGGGGCTACTGAGATGATGTGAATATACTTGGCCTAAATCTTCCTGTCAGAGTCAAGTGGCTGCAGCTGTCTGGGTTAGGCCATCACCCCCCATTGGAAATGACTTAAAGACCTACAGATATGGTGATTTGAGGTCTGGGGTGATGTTGCAAGAAGCTGTGGAAATGAGGGAGGTGGGGTGGTGGTGGTGGAGGGGAAGTCTGAGATGAAAGGCAGCCTGAACAGGTCAGTCCCTGCTGTAGGTAGAGGAGGCCTGGGAGGGCCTTGAGCCCTGAATCAAGAACCCTCATGGCTAGGGTAGCTCAGTTTGGAAAAGTCCTTCGTAGTATTCAAGAGGCCCCAAGTTCCACCCCCAGCACCTCAGAGAGAAGGTGTGGTGGTACACACGTATAATTCTAGCACTTGGGAAGTGGAAGCAGGAAGATTGGGTGTTCAAACCCACCCTTCGCTACATAGTGAGTTAAGGCCAGCCTGGGCTATGGGCGCGCATGCACGCGCGCACACACACACACACACACACACACCATACAACCATGGCTTCAGGGTTTGCCAGTGTTGAGGTGTGTGGTTCAGCAGTCTCCAGGTCCTGAGTTCTCATGTGGGGTATTGAAAACCATGCTTTTCCCAAGGGGTGTATGGTTGCTTTCAGCCATGGAAGGGATGTCACATCCTGCCTCAACTCTCACAGCCTCAGAGACACTCAAGCAGGTCTCAGAAGTCAAGGCCACCGGCTGTGCTGCGGTCTCCGGAAAGAGGAACAGACTGAGGTAGTGAAACCTGAAAGAGCCAGTCCTCACCCTCCCCTGAAAGCACCAGACAGAGGGGTGGAGAGGGAGGGGAGGGTCGAGGGAGGGGGAGGAGGGGGGGGGAAGATGAATAAGAAAAGGGGTGGGTAGAAGTCACCACCGGGGTGCTGGGGACTCACATAAGCTTGTTGCAAACCGGGGGCTGGAAGGAGGCCCGATTCTCTTCTACCCAAGACTTCACTCTCACGCGGTGGCGCTCCATGGTCTGCAGGCAGGACTCTCCGGCCCACCGCGAGTGGACAGGCAATCGGGCAGTTGGAGAGGTCAGTCTGCCCAGCCTCCTGTGGGCCACCTCATTAATTAACCTCCCCGGGAGGTCAAAGAGCAGAGCAAGCCCCTGCCATCCCGAGGTGTGGCTCTTGGGTCTGAGCCCTTATGCCCTGAACATCCCTGCCTCTGCTCACCGAAGAGGGCGGGCCCTCCAGAGCCCCAGACCAGACCTGCCTCCTAGGACCTGGCCAGCGTCCTCCGAGCACCCTGTTGCCCCGGCCCAAAGAGGGATTCTGGTGCACGCTCGCCCCATGTAAGATGCAGGATGCCGGACTTTCCGTTTTTCTAGGGACCCCCGCCCCTAAAGAAATATTGTGATAGGGAGAATAAAAGTTTGAAAATCCGAGGCTTTGAACACAAGGTGCGCTGAGGGCGACAGGGAGCGCACGGAGACCATCACTGGAGGCAATTCACGGGGGCATCGGTCTCCTCGGGAGCCCTGAGGTCAAGGCCGGTGTCTTGCAGAGTGTGGTTGGCTAGACACTGGGCTCTGTGTGGGTGGCGGCTGCAGGTGCACCCTGCTTTGCAGCCGAGGCCGGGGCGGCTGAAGCAGTCTCAGCACGGAGTAGTAGTGGGTAGGAATGAGGTGCCCCATGCTGTTCTGAGCTCTTTGTCGCCTCCACTGGGAATCGAACCAGAGTCTTCAGTTTGCTAGGCAAGCTCTGCCACTGCGCTTCCCTATCCCTCCAGCTCCCTTGCATGTTCTGTTTGGGTTTTGTTATTGAAACGAGGAATCACTTTGTAATCCAGGATGTTGGCCCACTTGCTATGTAGCTCAGGCTAGCCTCAAACTCTGTCCTCCCGCCTCAGTGCTGGGATTACGGACGGGCGCCACCATAAACTCACAATCTGCGCACCCTTGCACGTCTTAAACCACCCATGTATGAAGAATTTTGCAGGTGAAGATGGCCCTGGGTGTTCTAGTCTGTCAGACTAGAGGCTCTTCAGCTCAGGCTGTCCTAGGGCGGACCTAGATCTAAGTGTGAGAATAAGGACGGGGTGAAAGTGGGGTTTGTGGGGGTGGGGGTGGGGCATGACCATCTGCCTTTCCCCTTTCCCTCCGGGACTCAGAATTCTTGGAAAGATTGGAAGGGAGTGAACGATAGGAAGAGGGAGGGAGGGAGAAGAAACTGTCTCAGGCCTCCGACACCAGAAAGCAGACTACGGAATACAACAGCGATTCTTAACCTGTGGGTCACGCCTTTGGGGGTCCAAGGACCCTTTCACAGAGGGTCACATATCAGATATCCTGCAGATCAGATATTTACATTAACGATTCATAACAGTAGCAGGATCGCAGCTAGGAAGCAGCAACAAAAGTGATCCTATGGTTGGGGGTGGGGTGGGGGGTGTCAGCACAACATGAGGAAACGTATGTGGGTATTAGGAAGGTTGAGAGCCACTGGACTGGAGGAATCTCCCTCTGTGGCACTCTTGCCCACCTGCCCCTGTCTGCAGCCAACCACGGGCAGCTTCTCTACTTCCCAGACTTAAAAGCTCCCCTGGGGCTAAGTCAAAACCCAGACAGATACTCAGCCAGCGTCTCACCCACCTGGCAGGGACTTTCCTGTTTCCTCTCGACCACCCTTCCCCCTTTTGCAGCCTTTATCTTTTTAGTTGTTTATTTAGCACGTTTTAGCTAAGTGTTTCCTTCTTCTTTGGTACCTAAATAACTCCAACTACCTTCTTTATGTTTCCTGTCTTCAAGTAAACAGAGGGGGTGTAAACAAAGAGAGGGCGGGGACCTACGGTGTGTTAGGTTCGCTTTGAGTATTGTTAAAGGAGGGAGAGGTGGGTAGGTGGGTGGGTGAATTCACACCAGCGGCGGGGGGGG